ACAATAGCCGTCTGTGTGAAACACTGTTTTGGAGAAAGTGAGCCGATAATTTAATAACTTTTATTGCAGTTTTGCAAATAAAGTCATGTAAGACAAAAAGAAAGGAGTGTGGTCACCAGCAAAGGTCAGGACGCTGGTGGGTGAGATCCTGCAGCATAGCAACAGTAGAAATGTATGTAAAGGAAGAATCACACAGTCCGTTTTGTGCCGCTGTAGTTTCCAGTTTGTCGTCTTACAGGCTGGACTGGAAGACAGATGCCACTGTGGTATTCATTAAGTGCACAGTCTGTGCTTTATAGGCTTAAATCATAAACACAGCCAAAAATAAGCTTCAGTACCACAACTAAAACTTTTATATGCTTATATAAAACTTATATAGTGTGGCGATTTAAGTGCAATGTTCATGATTGTGGCTTTTGTCTACATTTGTGGATTTCCCTGTTTATAATTTATTATTTGTATCTTTTTCTCCTTCTTCTCTGACACATTATTTCCATCCTCGGTCCAGAATAAACCATTACCAGCAGAGGCTGCAGTCTTTGTACTTTAAGAAGAAGTTTGCAGAGAGGATAGCTGAGATCAAACCCAAAGTTGAAGGTGGGAAATATGTGCTTTATTCAATAAAAATATCTCAAATATGATTGCTATGATTTATCCAAAGCAAACATATTTATATCTCCAACTTTGTCCATTTTCCTGCTGCTTTAGCACTGGGTAAGGCATCTAAGGAGGTTTTAAACAGCAGAAACCTGAAGCAGCTGTTGGAGGTGGTGCTGGCATTTGGAAACTATATGAACAAAGGTCAAAGGGGCAATGCTTATGGCTTCAAGGTGTCTTCACTCAACAAGATCGCGGATACTAAATCCAGTATCGACAAGTAAGAACATTTTTCAACAGTGGTATTAAAACTTTGCAGGCAGCAGTAGCAAGAATGGCATGCGGTGTATAAAAGTCACATCTGGGAATATTATAGTGATGAAATTTCATGTGGATGTTCATATCTGAAAGTCCATCATGAAAGCCCTATATTGCACATTTGACACATTTTGCTGTGTGTTTGCAGAAACATTACTCTGCTGCACTATCTGATCACCATCCTGGAGAAGAAATATCCCAAAGTCCTGAAGTTCCAGGAGGACCTGCAGAGTATCTCAGAGGCAGCCAAAGTCAAGTATGTAAAGGCCGGGAGCAGTGATTCCCAAGTGTTTTCCTAATTTTTGTTTGTAAAATATGCCAACAATTGTGGTTCAATTGTTGGCATATAAAAAGAGTTTTCTGTAAAGAGTGAATCATCTACATGGGGAACCTAATTTTCAGCTACTTCCTTTTTAAGTGAATGGTGATGACCTTTCTTTCTTCCACGCAGTATGACGGAGCTGGAAAAAGATATCGGCAACCTGCGCAGTGGATTAAAAAGTGTAGAGAGCGTAAGTCATGGATATTTATTTGCAAACTCAGCAGAGCTCTTCTTTATGTTCTCTTTCTAATTGCTCCTTTTGATTTCCACTTGCAGGAACTGGAATACCAGAAGAAAGGGCCGCAGGAGCCGGGTGACAAGTTTGTGTCGGTGGTGAGCCAGTTCATCACCGTGGCCAGCTTCAGCTTCACTGATGTCGAGGACTCTCTCATCGAGGCCAAAGAACTGGTGAGTCATTCGGCCTGCCTGTGTGGTTTCTCTAGAAAACCCGAGGGTGTGCACGTGCGTTTGAGCAGACCGGACAGCGTCGCAGTCGCCTGCAGACACAGGCGCTGAAAGCTTGCATCCCATTTCCTCTCCATGCAGCTGTTTCTACAAGCCTTACTGACCCCGCCAGGGACCTTTCTAGGAAAGCGACCAGCAGGAGAAGCGTTTCGGCTTCCTGCTGAAGTGCCACCGACACTTTATTGTGCGGCCTGCTTGTTGCCATGTGTGAGGGCCAAGAGTGCAAACAGGAACATAGGCTTTAATATTATTTCACACTGTGGACATCAGATTACACCTGCCAACTTTAACATGTCACTTTATGTTGTGCAAAAAGAATCACAGCATCGAAGCAAACGAAGACGAAGCAAATGTGGATTTTATGGGGACTAAACTAGACTACCAGCAGAAACCTGAACATGTTCACATTTCAAAGGGCAGTTTGACACGCTAACATGGGATTTATGTGTCTGTCTTCCTGAATGGCAGGAAGAGGTGTTTTTTCTTTATTATTTTTATATGTCCCACAGTGTGTGCCACATTGACATGAGGACTCAGCTGGTAACATGGGAACCATTAGTTGCTGTTAATCATTTACAGTATGCCACGGTTAAATATTTGAATGTTTGCAGTGGCCCTCTGTACTCACGACTGGGAGCCAGATAACCTGGTGACCCTCTAAGAGGGTCACTGCATCAGCTCTGTGCATATAAACAAAATGAAAGCAGAAAAAGGTGACTGTGAAATAGTGTTTGATTGTTGCTGTGAGGAAAAGAAATGTATTCTTTGTTTTTCCCCCATTAGAGAAAAAAAAAACAAAACTTCAGCATCTTTTCAGCTCATAGTTTCCCTGTCTATGCCATAACTGCTGTTAGCAGTCACATTTTTTGAAGCTGTATCTTCCCAGCATGATCTTGCATCTGGATGTTCTTTTTTTTCTTTTTTAATTTATTGTGAAAAACACCCAACAAGCACATTGCCTTAATTTGAGCTCTGGCTCCAGTCTCTGACCTCAGCTGCAATCAGTAGCCGGTGAGATCTGGATGAACACGGGCTTCAAAGCCCGACCACTCCTGCCCTGCTCTGGTTTCAAAGAGCTGGGGCCTAATGACTCTCCTGTAAAGCAGTCAAAGATGGAATAAAACGCGGTTCTGCTGCGTCCTGCTGTAAATCTAATCTCGTGTGCCCCCTCCTCTTCTCTTTGGTCCTGCAGTTCCTGAGGGCAGTAAAGCACTTTGGTGAGGATGCCAGTAAGATGCAGCCAGATGAGTTCTTTGGCATCTTCGACCAGTTCCTGCAATCGTTCACAGAGGCTCAGCAGGAGAACGAGAACATACGAAAACGAAAGGAAGAGGAGGAACGCAGGGCCAAAGTAGAAGCTCAGGTATGCGACTGATCTCTCTTTTCATTCCCTGAGATTCTCAGTAGAGCTATAGCTGCTATTAAACACTTATTTAGCACCTTTAATTTATTAAATACTACAATGCCTTCATTTAGCAAACGTTACACAGTCATAGGAAATATATTTGATCTGTTTTCTGTCCCACGTGAGAAGATAGTATGACTCACATCTGTGCATCTCATTAGGTCTGATTAGATTAGAGCTGAAAATGGCTTCCTAACCTTAGATCAAAGGTTCCAGCATCTGCCCACTAAACTCCTCTACAGCTCATTGCATTATACAGTGCATTGATATTATATAGTCAAATTGGATGTTATTACGGGACTGCTTCTCTGAGTCATAAATAAATAAAAACCAGGAGGGCTCAGATTCCCGTATCCAAGCAAAGCTAATAATGCTCTTCAGATATTTAAATGCCAGTTTTCATTTGTGTCCCCAGCTACGTGAGCAGAGGGAGAAGGAGCGAAAGGCCCGGAAAGCAAAAGCGAACGGAGAGGAGGATGGCGGTGAGTTTGATGACCTCGTGTCAGCGCTGCGGTCGGGCGAGGTCTTCGACAAGGACTTGTCCAAGATGAAACGTAACCGCAAGCGGATCAACAACCAGAACACAGACTCGGGCAGGGAGCGACCAGTCACAAAGCTGAACTTCTAAATGGGCTCGATCACTCGCAACCCCCTGCTCATCATCATCAGCCTCCCTCTGGGGCGAACTGACATCCACATTCCTCTTCACCCTCCTCCACTCCCACCCACCTCGGCTCGGGTGAACCACAGCATTGCGTCATCGCAGCAGGGCCACACACAGCACAACATGATTAGACCTCTCATCCTCTAAGATTTTGATAAGAAATAGAGCAGAAGCCAAAGGTTGATACTCTTGGACCAAACAAGAGGGAGGAAAAGAAATGTTTTAAGTCATGCTGGAGAAAGGTTTTCACGGGTGTTTTGACAGGATCCGTTCGGTGCCGTTTTTGTACGTGAATCTATGCACAGAGTGAAATGTGCATCGGGTCGAGTGTTTCCGAGGCTGGAAGCTCGATCAAAGCAAGAGGACTATTCCTCTAAATGGGGCCATTTTGTACAGACTGAGGTGTGCTGCTTTCACCTGCCTGGATTTTCCGAGAGATCATTTCTGGAGAAAGACTAGACCTAAGCTTCCTCTTGATGCTGCCGCTCTCTTGCAGTCACAGCCATCACAGGACTGAGAGACTGTGTTGTATAGACGGATGTGGTTTTAATTGCAAGTGACACAGCTGAGGGTCTTTTTTTTTTTTTTTTTTTTACCTTTTTTTGACGTGCATCACATATATATATAAATCTGATCACTGTATGTTTTTATGTGAACATTTTCCTGTTACGAGCTGGCCTTAACTCTGATTTGATTTTGTTTCGTTTCTTTGTTAAGTGGGTACTCTCAAAGGCCTTGGCCTGATCTGCAATTCTTAACAGGTGTGTGGACACTCGTGTCATACATTACATACATCTATAGTATACAAGCGTGTGTGCTTGTTACACATGCACATAGGAATTCATAATGCTAAATACCATTGAAATTAATGCAATACACTTGTCTTTCCCCTTTGAAGAGAGTGCCCTCCTTAAATGTTTTTTATTATTTGAATAGATGAAATGTTTGCTCCATGCTGGCTGGATTTACACTGCATCAAATGAAAGGGCAGAAAAAAATCTGCTCCACATGTGATGTTTTCATTCTTGTAGAAAACATGACATGTGGACGTGCGACGTTCCCCCTTCAGCCTTGTGACTCCATCCAGCCGACACCTCCACCGAACTTTTATAATTTAAACTGCCTTCCATTGTACAATGACCTAAAGATAATAAATGGGAGAAAACTACTGATGAGTTTGATTATATTGTTTTTCAACACATGCACTTTCACGCAGCATTGACTCTGGTTTTATAAAGTTGTTTATTGCTACTAAAAACCTTGAACAGGAAGTGGAAGCATCTTTTTTATGTGGCTGAATTTTAAACTCTAAAGGTAACCAGCATTGTGGCTCCATCTAGTGGTCAGTAAATGCAACAACATTTAATGTGCACTTCATTTAATGTACACTTCAAATCATCAAAGCAAAAATCCCTTTTTACATTCAGTCATACACGATAACATAGTTATTTATGTTTATTAACATATACAATCAAAGTTCACTATCAAGAATATTTTAGTAGATATCTGAATGGCAGTACACTTCCTTTTAGCTGTTCTTCAGATTTTATCTTTAGTTATAACCATCCATCCATTTTCTACTGCTTATCTGGGGCAGGGTCTAAGCAAAGCAAAGAAACCCAGACCTTCCTCTCTCTAACCCTTCTTCCAGCTCTCTTGGGGGGATGCTGAGGTTTTCCAAGCCAGATGAGACACTCAGCATGTCCCAAGTCCGCCCCAGAAGTTTGACGTGGCTGAAACACCTCACCTAGGAGGAACCCAGGAGGGATCTTGGTCAGATGCTTGAATCAACTCAATGGATGTGGAAGAGTACCAGTGACTGAGCTCCTTGCAGTATCTAAGAGTTAGTTATGTACTTTGTTAATCTATTAAATATGATTTAGGACAATTTAAAGATTCACAAGATGTATAATAGTTTTTGTTTTTCTTAAAACAGGTAAGGAAAACTATTTCTTCATTTACTACTCAGGTAAACCAGGCCACCAAGGTCTTATTTTCTTCATTACAGATCCAAGTCTTGGCCACCTAAACGGTTTTCTATTCATAAAATGTGTTTTTGTCTTATTAAAAACTACCATTATAACCTTTGTTTTAATTTGTTTTTGTATAGAAAACCTATACGTCTTGCTTACTTCAGCAGGAAACCATGTGTCAGCTTGTCATCTGCCTCCTGCACAAAGCGTGAAACTCCGGTGTAAAAAGCTCTGCCAGCAACTTCCACCACTACAGCTTTGAAGTCTCCACACTTGGTCTCCTGAGCATTAAGACAGAAACACAATAAATGCTTCAGATCATTCTATGATGAGCTGATTCAAAAGAATAATTCAATTCATATTTATTTATATAGCACCAAATCACAACAACAGTCACCTCAAGGCACTTTATATTGTAAGCTAAAGACCCTACATTAATACAACATCTTGGATTTTAAATTTGATTTTAGATTAACAGGGAGCCAATCTAGAGAAAACAGTCTGGGAGAAATATGTTTTCTCTGTAGTTACTCTCGCTGCAGCATTTTAGATCAACTGAAGGCTTTTCAAGACATCCTGATAATAACCATGTTGTAGAAGTAGGAAATTAGAGGTCATCCAGGACCTGCAGTTTTATTAATTGGTATGTTCTCTGGCTTCATGAACAGATAAAGTTAGGTATCATCTGCATAGCAGTGAAAATGCATGCTATGCCTTGAATTAATTTAACACTTGTGTGAAGATTAATCTCCATTTACATGAAGAAACTGTAGTCTCAAAACAAACTGGAAATGTGATTCAAACCGCTGCAGTGCAGTACCTTTAATACCTGCAGCATCCTCTAATTACTGTAATAAAATCTTGTGGTCCATTGTCAGAAGCCATAAGATCATTTGTAACCTTCACTAAAGCTGGCTCTGTGCTGTGATGAGGTCTGAAACCTGACTGAAACTAGAATAAACTATTCCTCTGCAGATGATATATGCAATGTGTAAGATGAGTAATTCTGACAGCAAGTAGTGATTTGTTTGCTGTCAGTCCACACATCAGCGCGCTGCGTTTTGATGTAAGAGAAACCCGGAGCATCTGCTTCATGGTGACTTCACTCTAAGACATTTAAATACAGGATTTCAAATCAGTATTTTAGAAACTGTCAACCTGAGGAGCCAAACAAAGCGATGCTATATTAAATTGCACCAAAATCCTACACTTAGGATTAAGTATTATTAACTGTATTACTGTTTAGAAACAAAACACACAAAACGTGTTCTTTTTAACTTGGATTAATCCTGCACATTTCAATACATCGTAAATCCACTGCGCCATAACGTCTAAATATTTACTTATTCTTTTGGTCTTTTTACAAAATGCACTTCTTTCGTTTCTCACTCTTTGAACAAGAGGCAATCACCCTCATTCCACAAGAGAACAGAAATTGCGATACCTCAACAGCCTTTCCTGTGAACTGGGACCCAGTGGCTCCGCTCTGGAACGTCCTGGTCTGGTTCAGCTGGATGAGACCTTTGTGATACTGAAGAGCTACTCGAGCCGTGACACCAGAACCAGTCGGGCTTCGGTCTACCTGAGAAGCACAATTTAAACCTCCTATTGCATGAAGTTAAGGTGACACCAATGAACAAAACACAGACCTTTTTATTGTCTTTTGTATGATTCCAACACTTGAGCACTTAAAGAGGATTCAAATAATGGAAGTAAGGACAAAGACTTAAAAAGTGACAACAAATAAAAAATGTCCCCAAACGTGTTTTCTTGCAATATGTCTTGTTTTTCTTTCATATTTCATCTGAACAGTTGCTGTGTTTGTCCATTTCATTCATGATAAACTCTGCAGACTGCACAAATAAAAGACAATGTGACCACTTTACATAATGCTCATTATTCATTGTAAAAGGCCGATCTCCGGCACTGTCAAACTGCTGGCTGTGAGCACAGTCACAACTGCTCTTCCTTAGCTTCAGCTAATACAGCTGTTCCAAATTGTAATGTGACTTGTTAAATTGACCAGCTGTAGCACTTCCTAGAAGCTGCAGCCCTTCTAAGACAAATGTGCTTAAGTGTACACTTAGAGCTACTTCAGGGTTAGACAGGACTAAAGACTGTATTTAAAGTTGGATGTGGATTCAGGGCCTAAACAAAACAAACAAAAAAAGGTGATAAGAAGTGCCTTAAATCTGCATTATTTTTAATGACCAGCAGGGGGACTTTCCTTATTTTCCATCAAACTACTGCTTTCTTCTCTCTTATGATCTCTTTAAACATATTTCTAAAAAGCTTAGGATTTCAATCAGTAGTTTGAAGTCTTTCTTGTTTATTTAGTTTTTTTTAAAATTCTAATCAATAAAACGTAGTACACGCCTCTCACTATAGCGTTACCCACACTCAGGTTTCATGACAACGGTTTATCCTTCCACCAGCAGGAACTAACATACCTGAGCTTCAGCAAACACACAGATATTGGCGGTGGGTTCAGGGGAGTAATCGTCTTTCCCGTCTGTTAGTATGGTGCCATACAGGAAGGCCAGATCATCGCTGGCTGGATGATGCAACTTCACCTAAAGGATAATAAAAATAAGGTAGAAAAAGAAATCAGTTCACACTGTGGAATATGGTTGGGAGCATCATGTCCAGATACTTTTGGGTGACATCAAGCTGAGAGGTCATGTAATGCTCAGATTTTTTGCTATAAGCTCTACAGGCATGCACTGCATCCCATATAAGTACTACCAGATGTTTCTTGTGGCCTCTAAAAATATCCTGTGCATACATTTGAGCCATAATTCGACAACACCCTAAAAGCAGATGTAATGAATCAAAAAAGAAGCTGCCAATTCAAAGCAGCTCTATATAAGATCAGGCCTACTTTTTCCCCTTTTTAAATTAAAGTATGGATTATTTAGACTTTTAGATTACTAGAAATTTAGTAAGTGATATTCTCACTGTCTGTGTAATAATGCTGAGGGTTTTTTTAATTTCCTGTCAGCTGATCACCTGAGATTTGACAGCTCTGGTCACAGCTGTGGCTGCGTCGATAAGATCCCGAGTCCTGGACTTGAACACATCCAGACCAAACTTCTGGGCATTCACAAAGGCGTAAAAGGCTCCTCCGTAGCTGATGTCAACCGTTACTTCACCAAACCCCACCACCAACACTGTCACATCTGGTAAAAAATATTGAATTAGTCCTGGAGAACATTCAAATACCTGAGAACTATTACAGTCCTTTGTGCTACCTGTAGCAAATGCAAACGCAGGCACGCTGAGAAACCTCACTCCTCCCGTTTTCCCCTCAGAGTACTCAACAAAGGCCTTCACCAGGCCACAGGGACAGTGGATGTTCACTTGTGTCTCTGGCGACTTCGGCTCTTTCACTAGTTTGTAGTCCACAGCGAAGCGTCCCAGTGCGATGACGGCGTGGCCGCACATGGTGCTGTAGCCCTCGTTGTGCATGAACAGCACCGCCAGGTCGGCCTCGGGTAACTCGCTGTCCACGATCAGGGCCCCATACATGTCGTAGTGTCCTCGCGGTTCATACATCAGCACCCTCCTGAGGTGGTCCAGATGTTCCCGGACGTAGCGACGTTTGGAAAGCACGCTGTCACCTTTAACCTCTGGGTAGCCACTGAGGATGATCCGCAAAGGCTCTCCACCCGTGTGCATGTCGACCACAGACAGCTCGCCTCCCTCGTGAGGTGGAAGCTGCATTTCCATCTCAGCGCTGATCTCAGAAATCAAAACAATCCTTTGGGTTATAAACTCGTTTATATTTTTAATACACCTTTTTTTTTTAAATGTAAACACTTGCATGGGAAAACTTTTGAGTCTGCCTGCAAGCTTTGTTTGAAAATTATCCCTCAAATCAAAACATACATATGGAGTATGGGTAACAAATACATTTAAAACGATTTATAGCTGGATTTATAGCTCGGTGTCTGGGTCGCGTGTTTAGTTTATGAATGCTAAATTCTGCTTGAAGCCAAATTTGCTGAGTGATAATTCATCTGTAACATTGAGGCCACAAGATCAGCTAAAAAAGTAGGACCTTTGTCAGTTGATACCAGCTTGAAAATGAGCTTGAAAGTTAATATTTGGTATGACCGTCTTTATTCTTCAACACATCCTGAATTCTCTTAAACAACCTTTCTTGTCATTTCTTTAGGTAGACTTCAGGAATAGTTCTCCAGGCTTCTTGAAGGACATTCAAAGCTCTTCTTTCGTTCTTTGTGTCCGGGGATGGGTGTCCAGGCTGCTTGTCGGGGCCTGGAGCCTGGGGCCTGGGGCCTCTCGGCCTGGAGCTCAGTCACTCTGGCACAGCTGGCTGCCGGCGGAGCTCACGGGCACGTCACTGCAACCTCCCCTGGCTTCTGCTCCGCAGCTGCTGAGTGACCCCTCATCTGGGGCTCTCCTCAGCTCTTTCTGGGAGAGTGGCACGGTTGCCCCTCTGTTGGTCTTCCTTGGTCTCTTGTGCTCTGGGGGTCTCTGGATGTCTGGAGCCTTGATCTCCTCCATACCTGCTTCATGCCCTGGAGGACGGGGCTGTGGCTCCCCACACCCTCTAGCAGATCATTCATGAAGGAACCTTTTAAATACTAGTGCGCTCATGCTCACAGGTGTACAAACGGCTCCTACCTCAAAGCACACTGTGCGCTGTCGAGCCAACGTGGACGTCCAACTAATTATTAAAACTAATTTTAATAATTAGTTTTCACTGTTATATTCACATAGGTCATCGCGATGATGTTGTTTATTATATTGCTCTCGTTTTTTGCTTCTTTTCTCTTTTTTCTTTCTCAACAGGTGATCCAGGTGATTGATGAATGTATTTTTTGTTTGTTTGTTTTGTTAGTTTTTGTTTTTGCCCTTTATCACCGTTCCTCTTCCCCGCTGTTTTTCTTTCCCTCTTTCTTTCCCCCTTTTCTTTCCCCCAGTCAAGTCTGTCCTGTGTGTAGCAAGCGAAAATAAAATAAAATAAAATAATCAATAAAAGCAAAGGTGAATCAAATAGACCAATACGGCAAGGCCGGGATGGTCCATGTGGTAAAATAAATCCGTTGGGCATCTTTCTTTGCCTTTAGACAATAATTCTGATGGCAAGAGAGCCAAATGGGACAGGTGGGAAAGAAAAAAAAAAGCTCTTCTTTGGACATTGGCTGCCTTCTGTCCCATTCTCTGTCAAGATGACCATGCACTGCTTCAATAATGTTGAAGTCCGGGCTCTGGAGAGGCCAATCCATGACTGACAGTGTTCCATTTTATGTTTTTCTATCCAGGTATTCTTTTAATGCATTTGCAGTGTATTTGGGATCATTGCCATGAAAATAAATTACACCCACCCTTCCCACTGAGACCATTTCTGATGAGGGTTCAATGAACAGTAAATGGATCAGCTAAAAGGCCAGATCCAGCACTCAGGTAATGTGTCAGGTCATGTTGGATTTTTTCCATATTACTTAAGACATGACTTCCAGATATCATTCCTCTGCTGTAAACAGATAATGTGACAGACCTAAAAGTCTGTCCACTTGTCCAGTTTTTACAATTTAAAAAAAAGAAAAAAAGAAAATACCGTACACCATGGTGAGCTATGCCACGTTTTTGGCTAGTAGCTCTGTAAAAATACTATTCTATTTTGTAGCTATTAAACTGTGTTATCTTTTTGTAGATTCAGATAAACAAACGGGGACAAATTGTGGGTTTTTTTTGTGACAGTCTGTCAGTAACAAAGTGGATAAAGATACTATTTAAAGTTGGCTCTTTGTTACTACTGGTTCATCAAAAGATGAACCAGTAGTAACAAAGTATTAGTACAGTTGTAGTAGTAGTGTCCTTTTTATGCTTGAGTGATTCACGTTAAGTGGCTTGACAAACAAAAACATTCCTCATAAAAACGAGTAAAGAAAAAAGCAGCCAATGTCCAAAGAACTATTGCTCAAGAGAACTTCTAAAAAAGTACAAGAATAACTCTTTGGAAGCATAATATGAAGAATGAGGAAGGGTTCAAGACTTTGCTGTGTCTTCTATGATCAGTGTGGAAGCTGTTGAGCATCTAACTCCTGTAAATTATGCGTTTATTCATACTTTAGATCAAAACATTCGTTAACATTAAGAAATGTGAGGGTAGATGCAGTAAACAGCAAATATTGAACATGAATTCGCATTAAATTTGACAAAACAGGCACCAAAAGGCGAATGTTGTGCAGGCTGATCTGAGGTCATCGTAAAAAATGATTTATGAGCAACAGTTTTGCTTATATTCGTTTTTGAAAGCAAACGGGTTTATAGTGGGGACTTTATTGTTGTTTTTCTCAATACATGCTGTGCCGTGTTATTATATTCCGCCACAATACAAACTCTCCCAGTTAAACGTTTGGATGCCTGCAGTAGGTATAACGGAGTGCATGCAGCGCAACTCTCCAGTAAAAGGCAGCAAAAACCCAGCGTTGACTCACACAACTGCAAAGAGGAAAAGAACTAAAGCTCTGGTAAGTTTACTTACCTGCTGTAACTTTTCTCTGTGCTCAGATCTCAATCTTGTGCAGCCCTCCTACTTTTTTCTTTTCTTTTCTCTCTGTGTGTTTCAGTTACACAAAGACACTAAAATGAAGCATTAGTGCCACCCGCTGTTCTGGAGGGCTGCACGAAGTTAGTCTTTAAACAGCCCAGTACACAGTTTTATATTCACACAGAGATGCAGACATGTGTTTCTCTATAT